GTCATAGGTAGAGATATTGTCCTGTTTCTACAGAGGGCATCTTCCTCAGCCAAGAGCCTCTTCACTTCTCCCTCATGTTCAAACCCACAGTCTGATGTTGTAATACAAAAGTCAGCCAAAGGAGGGATGGGGACAGAAAGGCAAGCAGATTAATTCTTGTCATCCTTCTTATCATCGTCCTCCGAGGGATAGGAGTGCCATGTGAGCCTTTCCTCATAAAACGAGATGACCACCTGTGGACACTTGATGTTAGCTTCCTTGGCAGGAACCAGATCAGCTTCATCTGAGTTTTTCCTATATAATCAAGAGAAAAAATAAGTTAGTGTTTATCCCACAGGGGAAGAGAAAAAAGATATACTGATATTAAAACTCTTTTTCAAAATACTGATGGTCAAAGATTGGGCCATGTCACCTGAATGACACTTGTGATAATTTGATGGAATTTATTGTTTAAAGTCATAACTTACATCAATATCAGTGTTTTCTGGCAGCAACTATAGAAGTGCCATTTTTTTTCCTTCTACTTTAAAAGGTAACTCACTGGATCTTGTATTTCATAATTGGGGGATGGATGAACATTCCACTAAAGTGCAAGGGTACCATGGCAGCATGTTGTCAACCTGTGACTGACAATACATTTGCACCTGTATCTGTTCTTTTAGACCACAGAAGTAGTCTATGACCCTCCAGAGATTACAAAAGTATGAGTCCAAATAACTCATTCAGCATGGCTAACAATGAGGGATGCTAGAAATTGTAATTTAGCAATAACTGGAGGTTGCAAGTTTGTAGTTACGTGCAAAATATTTCATTCCAGAGACAGAAGTTGAACTTTCTTATTCTTCACAAGGTCACATTTATCTGGCTGTTCTGGGGTTGTCAAGATGTGAATCTTCCAGAACAGGAAGTGTTTCATAATGCACTCACTGAATATTCCACTGGTTTATTGACATTACCATAGGGCAATTGTAATGAAAGGTGGCTGATCTCTACATTGAGAAATCAGTTTTCAGATTTTATATAGACAATTATGTTTTTCAAAATGAATTTATATGCCATCCTTTCTTTGGTGGAAAATCTAAAACCAGATCAGAATACAGTACAGACAGTTAAAACACACAAAAATATAGTACCATCAAGAGACTTTATATCCACCTCAAATTTTAATGCAGAGCAAGCAAATCAATTCAGAACACCATATATAAGCAGACAAGCTTATATGCCATTCCAATTGTCAACCAACTCAGCAACTTACATTCTGCCACAGGTAGACAAGATTAAAACAACAAAAATACCCAACAGTTAACAAATTCATATGAATTCTATGCCAAGGAATTATATCCCCATATTCTTACACAGGAGGAATGTTTCAAGCCATCTCCCCCTTAAAGATCTATTGATATAACCAGGTTTTAATTAGTTTCTTAAATCCTAGTAATGTTGGGGCAAGTCAAATCCGGAGGGGGGGGAGAGGTGATGTTTGAGAAAGGGGGGCAGCAATTGAAAAGGCCTGTCTGAGAACACGTTTGAGTAAATGACATTTTTTAAAAGAGGAAATCCAGGAGGGAGCCCATTCTTCCTGATCTAACTGGGCAGGCAGAAACTATTAGGAGCAGGTGGTCCCATAAATACCTAGTCCAAAACTATGAAGGACTTCAGAGGTGACAACTTGCACCTTGAAGCTAATTGGTAACCAGTGCAGATGGTGATGGAGTTATATGGGCATGCTAAGGTACCTGAGCTACTGCTTTCTGGACCAGCTGAACTGCCTCTCAGGGGCAGTCCAGATGGAGTGCATGGCGATAATCCAAACAGGTGGTGACTAATTTTGGTACAGGGGAGCATGGCCCCATCCAGAACCAGAGATGGAATATGGTGATGGAAGAGATGGAATTGCTTCCAAGCCAACAGCCACTGTCATGCTGGGATTTAGCCTGCATTTCCTCTGCCTTATCCAGGGGCCTGGCATTAAGCCATAACATTTCCTCAACATTTATACAATGTCATATTCTGTTTGAAGATGTACAATGAGAGGTTCAAAAATTAAAGGACAAATTTACCATTTCATTAGGAACATGAGCTCCCCACTGGAATCTGTGGCACCAATAATCCGTTCTGGCTCAAACCCTCTTGCAAAGCCTCGAGGCTTTTCAGCCTAAAGAAAGAGAAAAGTTACTGATTGCTGCAGTTAGAGGATAGCAGAAAAAGATCAAGCACTCAATTTAATATGGATCCATCTGATAACACAAAATAATATTACTGCTAGAAAATAGTTTCTGCTATACTCTAGAAAGGAGGGAATCCTAGATCAAGAATGATATGGTACATATATTCTTTAAACTACTGAATTTATATTGTTCAAAACTATATGGTTTCATGAATCCTAATCCCATGTAATTTTACCTGAAGGACAGACCTCTAACAAAATTAGAGAAACTTGAGCTCTTATTTTGGTGAACTAATCTCCTTAATGGCAACTACCAGAGGTCCTGTATTCCTTGAAATTATAGGCAATAACTTAACAATGGGGTAGGGATAAATACTAATGGGATAAAGATTCTATGTTATATTGCAATTGAAAGTTTCACAGCTATACATTGGGGGTTTAGCTATACTTCCAAGATGAATGAAAAAAAAAAAGAACATGTGACTATAAACAGAAAAAATAGAAAAGGAATAGATAGTATGTAAAAATTGAAATAAAAATGCTGAATACTTAAAAGAATGTTAGACAAGATAGAGCAATAAACCTGGGAGAAAGAATAAACTTCTTCAAAACCGCAGTCAGCAGAACACATCTTTATTTTTAAGGTATTTATGTAGCTCTAAGATACTAGCTGTAAACTACAATTATGCCCCTCTGTTTAAAAATTTCTATCAACCATTTTTCCCCCTCTTTAACTATAAGACATAAGCAACCCTCAGTGGATTATATATTGAAGGAATCTGCCTTACCTCTTCTCTTTTTTTCTTTGGTCTGCTTTCTTCCCCCCTATCCTCAGAGTCTGACTCAGCCTTGCGTTTGCTTCCCTCTGACTTGTCACTTTCATGTGCTGTTTTCTGGGATTGCAGGAACTCTGCAATTAGGTCAGGGCAATCGAGATTCTCCTCTGGCTCCCATGTATTATCTTCACTGCAACCCATACAGAATACCAGATTTTGTAACTATCATTTTTATATTTCTATCATATATTATCCAAAAAAGATGCTTGACTAATTATGGGACCTGGAAAATCTTGGCATAAATTAAGAGCAATTTTCTATGAATGGGAAAGTATTAAATCTATAGGTTTTGCACCAAAAGGCTTTTATTTGAAACCTGGCATATAAGAAGATTTTTCCTATACATAAACAAGTTACAAGACCTGAGAATATGGCTTAATCTGAATTGAAGCAGAAGGAATGTTGCATGATATACACAGAACATCTAGTGACAAGCAGAATCAAATTACCAAGATTTCAGTGATCTTATGTTATTCTGAGTCTTGGTTTTATGAAGTGAGAATTAAATACACATACAGAGATTATCTGAAAGAAGAAAAAAATGGAACAGCAAACATAAACCTCTTTGCATTAATAACTAATGCAGAATAGTTTTTCATTTTCCTCATTAACTCATAGATATATGCTTTCAGGTAAGGCCTCTTCACCGTGGGGGGCAACTAGCCTTGGATAACACAGGTATTCAAGTGCCCTGTAGGGAAGGCATATTGTATGACAGGGACAGCCAATACATACCTGGCAAAACAGACAGAAGCATCTGTATATATCACCAGTTGCTCTTCACCAGTAACCTAATTAAAGTGTAAGCAAAGAACTGTCCAAACCAGAAAGCACTTTTTGGGGAGGAAGAATCTACACCTGATTTTTAAATACATTTATGTCCGCCAGGAACATACAGTTCATATCACCGCATCAATTCTTAAGGTCTTATATTTGCCTGAAAGCTGCCAAAAGATAAAATTGAGATAATCAAATATAAAATGTTTTTAAAATACAGCTGGGAAGGTTTTTAAATCTGAGGTATCTACCAGTTCAAGTTCATTACCACAAGGGTAGATTTTTTAAAAAGTTGAACTGGGTTTCTAAAAAGCCACAGTTTTAATAAACAAACACTACTGTGGAATGCTAACATAAGGTTTGAAAAACTGAAGACAGCAGAAATTTCCTTTCAAAAGAACTATGAAATAAAGGGACAGCAGCCTTACTCTGAAAAGCCTTTCCACTTGAGCAGGTACTCCACTTTGCCTTTCACTACCCGCCTGTCAAGAACTTTCTCCACCACGTATTCTTCCTCTTCCTCTTCTAAGACCTCCTCCACTTTCTTCTTGTTTTGCTTTTTTCCCATTGTGCTCGCCAGTTTTGCAGTTTAAAGGAGGCTGTTAGAGATAATGAAACAGACATCAGGATGGAAAAATGCTGATTGGGAAGCTTTTGGAGCTGCAATGGCAATACTAAATAAAAGCTACTATACTCTTATTTTTCTACTCAGTATTCAACCATAAAATAATGGAGAAATTAAACCCAAAAATCTCTGTGTGGATACACAGGTAAATATACAGCAGAAGAAAGAGGTTTAAAGGATACAGAAAACAAATAGCAGATATGACAATCAGATACAATCACAAGAGCACACTGGAATATTTAAGTCCCATCAAAACCTATGGTCTACAAATACCGCATAAGCCTGGTGAATTGCATTCATATCTGCATTACTTGTGATGATTTGATTCAATAGCATCGTCTTTTTTATTAATAGGACATATAGAACTACTCCTCTAGAATCTGATCCCACCAGAATGGCACATGCAACTTAAGACAGACAGTTGCACTTTGACTATAGCAAGTTTTATGCAACTTAGTTTTTCTTCCAAAAACAGAAGACTGCAGGAAATAGACCATTATGTTTCAAATTGAAATTCTTCAGAGTGAATCTTTATGCTCAAAGCAAGAAATATTAACCATCACATTCTCTTCTGATACTCTAAAAAAAACAATACATTCTATATATGTGGTTGAACAGTAGGTTGACAACAGCAGAGGAAGATGACATTCTCAAGTAGTAGGAGCAGCACAAGTGCACCCAGCAAGCAAACTAGATTAAACAGCTTGCTTCTTCTGGAAATGAAGAGTTACAGTCTACTGGAAAAAGAAAATTGTAGAGGCCTCCTGCAGGCAAAGCATCTCACAGCAGGAGGATACACTTGTCTCAGTTGGGGTCTGATAAAACAGACAAAAGGGGCCGTCAAGCACAGCTAGGATTTAGAAAAGGGTCTAGTTTGCAGTGAAGAATGGCTGGCTAGGGATAGGCCTATGAACAACAGCTGAGAAGGAAGGGGAATTTCTAAAGAGCATGTTTTTACTAAGCTTAAACTGGTTTGTTTCCCAAATGGTGGGAACTGTAGTTCTGAGACACTCTGAGTGGAGTAAGGCTTCTTAACATTCTTGGCACACTGACAAATCTTTTCTTTTTTCTGCCTGTACTCCCCTTTCTTTGTATGACTAGTCGTTTTAGTCTGTAAGCTTAAAGCCAGGGCCTGCCTTTTTTTTTAAAGTAATGTGAGCTCCTTGGATATATAATTATTTGAAAAGCAGAATAAAATATACCTAATGATTAAAATAAATAAATTATGGAGTAATATCCAAACTAATTCAAATCAATGGGAATTAAGTGAAGACAGAACTAACTTTCTACAATACTTGCATATAAGTTTAACCCATAGCTGAACTTCCTTGAAATAAAAAGACCATAGCAAGGCTGTTCTAAATTAATTTCTATCTCCAGCATATACATACCCCTCTCAAACTGGGAAGGGAAGCACATACAATTTTGCATAGCCTGTTAATAGTCTTATATATTGCCAAAACTCAAAATAGCCCAAAGGCATAATGAGATGGATATCCTAGAAAGCAACCGAAGTTCTTGGGGGAAAAAAGACATCTTATACTGAAATTTAGGGAATAACAGACAAGCAGTTGATTGATCTCCCCCTTTCAAATACTATAAACTCTGCTCCAAATCTGAGACTGTATGATCAGTTGGACTAATTCTAATAATCAGGCATTTGCACAAGATGAGATTCAAGTATTATTTTCCTTTTCCAAAAAAACATATATTTCTTATTGGCTTTAAGTAATATTTTTAAAAAATGGAATCAAATTCTCAGGAATTCTATGCAATTCTTACAAACTTTATGTAAATTTCCAGAGTTTCCTGCAGTCTATAAAATGACACTGTGAGCAATACTTTTATCAAGCATTATTTCCATTAATTAGCTCTCCATGATGCTATACCAAAGATTTGTGCTAAAAGGAGATGGCATGCAGTCAGGAAACACAGAGCCTTTCTCTACCCCTTCATCTTCTCATGGTATTTCCCATTTCGGCATGTAGAAATGGATGGGTAGGGTTAAAGTGTCTGCTCTTAATGTTCACATATCTTTGAAACTGGGAATTATTTTAGTGTGATTGTGCTTTTCAAAGGCTCCATATGTTGTGCTGATAAAAAGAAATTTCTGTTTCACTTCCAGCAGGGATGTCACATTCCTTCCAACCAAAAACACTATTGGTCAGGATAGAAAGAGCACAATCTATAAGGAGAGGAAGATGTAAAAGGATTTCTCTCCCTACTTAGTT